AAAGGAAAGGAAAGGAAAGGAAAGGAAAGGAAAGGAAAGGAAAGGAAAGGAAAGGAAATGTGATTTCAGACCACCGAAAAGTTGCCACCTTCCGACATAGACCATCAACATGGCTCCCATCTCCAGGCCATGGATGATTAATATGCCCTAGGGGCCAGTATAGGATAATGCAGTGTTTCTCAACCTTGGCCACTTAAAGATGGGTGGACTTCAACTCCCAGAATTCCATAGCCTGCATGCTGACTGGGGAATTCTGGGAGTTGAAGTCTACCCATCTTCACTCGGCCAAGGTTGAGAAACACTGGTATAGTAGCTAAGGGGCTGAACTGAGAACAGAGGTGTCTAGTTGCAAGCTCCTACTCAACCATGCAACTTCAGCCATTGTTTCTCTGCTCAACCCACTCCACAGAGTTACTGTTGTACATATCAAATGAGGGTTGACCCCCATGGATGCTGTTTTGAGTTCCCTTGGGGGGAAAAAAAGCAGCATACAAATATAAGAAATGTTGGAGTAGAGGTGCACACCAAGATGCATATACAATTTTGAGCAGACTCCAAAAAACAAATGTGCAAACTGAGGGAAAAATAGGAGGAACAACTCACACTCAGGGAAATGCAAAATGGTAAACATTGTGTTCCACTTGACAGTGCAATCCACCAACTTCAATAAGTCCTTACATATATCCGAAGCCAGTTTTAAACACACAACTTTTTCTCCACAGAAATTGCCAAAAGTCCTTCCTTTTCTTAAATCTTGATTTCCTATCCATGAGCTTAACTGGATGACCTCAGATGCTGGCCTTATGAAAGAAAGGTTAGCCTTGTCAGACACTGAAACCAAAGTTGCCCTTCTGTAACCATAGCCCTTCGTGACCTAAGCATCAAGTCACACATTCACGAAAAAAAAAACCTGAGTTTTTGCAAGTTTTTACTTGGGATTTTTATAAAAGCTGCAGAAAAATGTATACCTCCCATTTTAGAACAGAATTGAGCCATAAACCTCTCTTGGTGTAGATGAAACTTCAGACGTGTTCAATATTGAAAGCGTCTCTGGGATTAATAAAAAAAAGACAAAAGACTGTATATTGGCTGAATGGCTATATTTAAGCTTCCTTCCAAGGGAGATAGATATTCCTTTTGGATGGTCCGTTATGTGCTGTCGCTGTTAATGGTTGATTATGTTTGATCAAATTGGTGTCAGTTCTTAGCACCCACATAGGCAGACCTTCTCTGGAATAAGCCATTGTGGTAATGCAGATTTTTATTCTGAAGGGCTCTTTCCACATTCTCTGGTTGAGTCCTTTTGGATCTCCAATTGTTTACACATCTCCAGTCTTTGAGTACTACCAAAAATCTAGTAAATCCTAGAGCCTGAAGAACAGGTTCCATGACCACTATGTCCAGCAAAAGTGGGATGTCTTTGAGGATATCATGTGCTTGGAGGGGCATTTGGTGTACTAAATCTATAAATTGTTACCTTTCAAGGAGACTTTCAAATGTGGAGCACATCCTTTGGAACTCATTCCCTGCCCTCAGAGAAAGTGTTACAGATGTTTCTTGTCCTGGTGTTGCCTTCTGTGGAACCCAATAGTTTTCTGATAGGTCTAGAGTCGTGTTCCTTGTGTTTAGAAGTTCTGAAAGATTTGGGATGATTGAATTACACTCTATAGGCATGTTCCTTTCCTTTTTATTGGTAGTAGCATTGCTCCTTCAAATCCTTTTCACCTGGGATGGCATCCAAAAGTTCTCAAAAAGCAAAAGTGAATGGACTGTTGGTTAGACTAGGAACAAAGGATCCCCTAATTGTCCAGCCAGTGATGCCTCTGGAGGGAATGCTGCAGATCCCATTGAGTATATGGGCTGTTCAAATATTATTACAAGCTAGAATTGTCAAGACTTCTGGCTTACTGTGAATGGGGAGATGCTAATGCACACTGCCCATTCACTCCAGCTCTTCTTACTAACAGGAACAGAACTGCCTGGAAGATTAAAACCAGGTCATATGAATGCGGCTTGTGTGCCCCAAATAGTCTTTCACTTCTTCCTGATGATTGTGTCCCAAAATACTGCTGCCATTTGCAATGGGTAGAGGGAATGGCCTTGAGGGACAGGATGAAGATCACTACCAAAACAGCGGTCAGATAAAATAAACCTGAGTCCAGGGCAGAACTATAACTTGAGAAAACATCTCAGACAAGCTCCTCCCTGGTTCTCAGAAAGATAAAGGGAAGGAGGGGGAAATGCATTCGGGCTTGCAAGAGTCTTACATATCAGTCTACTCATCCCATTGCATCTGATGAAGTGAGCTGCAGTTCGCAAAAGCTTCTGCTTTTTAATAAAATGTGTTGGTTAGAAAAGTTGCTACCAGACTCCTCCTGATTTGGGGCGACCATAGACTAACATGGATCTCCTCCTCCAATAACTAGCTAAAGGTGAAAGAGTTCATGCAAATATAGGTCAGGGTGTTTGGCAGTTTGTATGTTCCAAAGAAGCAAGATCACTAAACCTTCCTGCTATGGACTGTGAAGTTCAAGTCTCCAATAACACTAGCAGATTCACGACGTATATTTTGCACAATTGTTTAATCAGTTGCCAGGTCTGTTTCATTTAAAAAAAAAAAAGGTACAATCCAATGTTTAAAAAGCCTCTTTCAAACATTCACTCCTACCTCTAAATGTGACCTAGGATTGAATTCTGTAGAAAAAGGGTGGGACAGTACAGAAGCAAGCAGCCTCCTTCTCAGCAGTTGGGGCTTCCCAGCAGGTGGAGCAGATACAAGCTCCAAGCTAGTGGCACAATGGTGGCATTCTGTTGATTTAATCCTCTACCACAGTGTTGTCCAAACTTGGCTACTTTAAGATGAGTGGACTTCAACTCCCAGAATCCCCCATGCTGGCTGGGGAATTCTGGGAGT